CCGCTCTAGGAAGCCCGCAGGGCTCGCCTCTCTGTGATGCGCGGGGGCGGGGCCAATCCCGCCAGCCTACGGAGCCTGTGGGTCAGCGTCTCCTTACACCAGGAGGGAGGAAAAGCTGCTTTTGTTTATTTTTATTTATTTATTTTTTAAACGAATTATTTATTTATTTGTTTGTTTTCTGATTCCATTTGTTATTTTTAAAAATTTGACGGGGAGTGGGTGGGACCAGCAGTTAGCGTAATGGCATGTCGCTGGACTCCATTATAGTGACCGCGGTTGGAGTCTCTGACCCGGGGGCTTAAACTCACGCTGGGCTCGTGTGCGTGGGTGCCCAAAATCCCGAGAGGAGAATGGAGGAGAAGGGATTGCGGCGTGGCCATCCGCCCTGAGGGGTGATTTCTCACTTTGTCTCTGTCTTTCTGGCAAGTGCACGCTCCCTATAGCAAAAAAACTCTCCAAAAAAAAAATCAAAAAAAATTTGACAAGGGAGCGGGGACAGTGAGAAAGCAAGCCACCAGGTCCAAGACTCCAACCTTAGTCAGCCGCGTGGGAATCCAGAGCCCCCAGCCACCACACTACCTGCTGGCCCTTTATTTTCTTTTTTATAAAAGAATTTTAGGGACCAGCAGTTGGCATAATGGATATGTCACTGGACTCCCATGTAGCCGACAGCAGTTCGAGTCCCGGCCCCAGTGACTTAAACTCATGCTGGGCACGTGTGCCTGTGTGCCCGAGATCCTGAGAGGAGAATGGAGAAGGGATTGCGGCGTGGCCATCCCCTCTGGGGGGTGATTTCTCGCTTTCTGTCTCTCTGTCTAGCGAGCGCACGTGCCCTATAGCAAAAACCTCTCCAAAAAAAAAAGAATTATTTTGGAACCAGCAGAAGGCACAATGGTTAGGTCACTGGACTCCGACAAAGTTAACTGGTTGGAGTCCCGACCTGGAGGTTTAAAACTAGGCTGCAGATGTGTGCATTCATGCCCAGAATCCCAAGAAGAGAGTGAGGGAAAAGGAATTGCCTCGTGGTCATCCTCCCAGGGGGTGATTTCTCTCTTTATTTTTCTGTCTCCAGCGAGCACACATGCCCCGTAGCAAAAATCTTTGAAAAAAAAGTATTTAATTTTGTTCATAATAGTTATTCATTTTTTATTTAACTTTACTTATTTTAATTTGACCAGAATGTGTGTGTGTGAGAGAGAGAAGGAGGGAGAGAAAGAGAGCAAGCCACCAGGTCTGGGAATTGAACCACAGTCAGCTATGTAGGAGTCCAGCGCCCTTAACCACCATGCCACCTGCCAGCCCCTATAATAGTTATTTTTAAAACTTGATTAGAGGGAGACAAAGGGAAAGTGGGAAACCCGCCTCAGTCGCCCTGTGGAGTCCAGCCTTAGCCGCTGCCTTGCTTTCTGGGGCATAAACGGGCCTGGAGCGGCATCTCCGGACTCCCTCAGCCCGGGTCCTGGGAGGTGGTGGCCACACTGCCTGCGGACCTCCTGCGCTGCACGAAGGCCGCACACAGGGAAGTGTGCCCAACGCTCTCACGTGTGCTTTGAATGGTCACAGGAGTTGAGGGGGTCGTGGACAAGGTGCGACCCGCCACCACTGCTATGGAAGAGGAGAGGCACGGCCACACGGGAAAGCGTTTGCAGGGCCCATGGGTTACAGCGCTGTGTGACCGCCAGCTGTGTGCACGATGCCAACAAAGCATCTGTTCGCAGTCTTGCACGGATGTTCTCGGCTAAGTATTCATAACTGACAGGGAAAAAAAGAAACCATGCGATGTCTGTCAGTCGGTGAATGTTTAAGCACACTGCTGGTAGTCACAGAATCGTGTATAAAGCGAAAGCGGCCAGGCACATAGGGCCACGAATTCTATGACTGTTTATACCAGATGTCCAGTTAAGGCAGCACGACCTGCTAAACTATCCCAAAACGCGTATGCGGAAGCCATAGTCCTCAGTAAGGGATTGTCTTGTCTTCATAAGTTGTCATGTCTTTGCGGTAGAGTCCTAGATTCCTAGAAGCGGCTGGAAAGCCTCCGGCGGCCTCCCGGGTCCCGCCGCCCCGCCCACGGCGGCTCTCGCGCATTAGTTTTTCTTGGCCACCAGACATGGACGGCACAGGCCTCCCACTGTCCTAGAACAGCCCCGAGAGTGCGCGAGGCGGGGCTTCAGGCCTATTTCCGGTTTTTGTCGCGCTCCTCTTGCGAGACGTCTGCGCAGGCGTTCTCCGGATCTCCGGGAAAGACAGGGCGACGTGCGCGTGCGCAGCTCGGCCCCTCTGGCCCCGCCCCTTCCTGCCTGGGCACTACCCCTCTGCAGCAGGCCCGGTTACCGCGGGCGGGCGGCGCCAACTGGCCGCAGTTCGTGGCCTCGGCCGGCCCGGGCCTCGGCGAGGTGGGCTGTGGCA